TGTGTAAACATCTTCATCATTTATGTTAATTTGAGTATATATGCAGACTTAAAGTTACAAACTAATAACAAAATTTAAAATATTAACCAAAAATAGGGACAAAAAAAAAGCAATCGTCAACAAACAATGAAATCACGATAATATATAAGTTTAAAATATGAAATATATAAGATAAATAAGTTGTCAAACAGATTAAATATATATATATATATATATATATATATATATATATATATTTTTTTTTTCTTTTTTATTAATTGGTTGATTACTTCGAATATAGAGGTGTATATATTTTATCAAGTAAATAAATATAAATAAAAAGATCTCTAAAGTTTGTCATGTGAGAAGAGACCTCAGACAACATTATTTTTCTTAGTGCACTAAGCACGCCATGATAGCAGTTTTTAATTCGAAGTTTTAATTAGTTTGCTTGTCTCCAATTATGTAATAATATAATAATATTAAAGTTTTAGTTAGTTTTAATTAGTTTGATCGTCTCTAGTTTAGACTGAGGAATTAACATCTCGACATCGCCAGAAACATGAAATCGACACATGGTAACATGTAACTAGTCCGAATCACTTATGTGTGATTAGAATACCCCTATCTACTTAAAAAGATATAAATAATATAAATTTTAAATGAGAGTTACAATTGTAACACCGGTTCCCACTTTTGGATAAGCATACTGCCATTTAGACCGCCCTTTAACCATTCAAAAGGAGGGATAAAGATTTAAACTACTCAAGATGAGTCTTATAGACTCAAAAATTGCCCATGCACAATCCATCATTCATGATTTTGCAAGGTTAGACCTAAACAAGGAGTAAATATAATACATTTTGCACTTGCGCAATGAGCAAGGAAAACACCACCCCTTGCACAGTCGCACCCATGCATAACCAGCTTCACTGGCGACCTACTGTACAACCATAAACAAATCCATAACCCAAAATCCTAAGATCTTCAACGGCACCGTAGGCTTGCCAGCCTAACCTGAATCTGGGGATTGAGTAAATCTAGCTAGATACTTTCAATATACCCAAAAACTTAAAAAATAAGCCTCCCCTCCCTTATGCACATGACATATACTTAATCCTTAGTCCTTAACCCTTGACTGGAATCCATATAAGAGTACACACTACCACGAAAACATGCATACTCAAGAAATATCATTTTAGATTAGCTCTTTAAATATGCATATTAAATTCCTTGTTCTCAATCAATGAGCATCAGTTATAAAATTTAACATTACATCAAACAAATTTGGTTTAGGTCATATCAACATAATTTATGTAATTATAATATGGTTGCAGCAATCAACAATCAAGATCTAGCAAGAAAGATTTAATACTGTATATCATATATTAAACACGGAAGAAGTTATTAACCAAATATGAAAATGAGAAACCAGGCCCTCACCTTGGCCTTTAGGAGAGGATCAAGAAGGAGGCAGGTAATACAAGATCCAGATCGATAATGGATAGGGTTTGAATAAAATAGGATTTTGAAGAATAATTTGCGGCGGAAGAAAAAAATAGGGTTTAGAGTTTGGGGATTGAGAATTCTACGAAAAATGGCTCTCAGTAATGGTGGCGCATGAAGAAAAAAAAAGAGACGATTTATAAAAAAAAGGAGTTTTAAAGCTCTAAAACTATAAAATACTGGAAACCATGTAAATATTTATATTTGGAAATAAATAAAAAATAGGATTAATAATGAATGATTTTATGAATATATACAGAAAACTTGAAAGGAAAATATAAATGTAAAAAGTAATATATCATGTAATAAGAAAATATTTAAAACGAAAAAAACTATTGAAAAATAAATTGGGTCGATCCATACCTCACGAGAACTATCGTATATCATCACCCATTCTATATCTCCCCGGTAAAATTTTTCGAATCTTATTTATCTCCAGATATTGTTTTTGTCATATTTTAGTAATTCCCAATTCGAAATCTTCAATACCTGATACGAAACCGAAATTCCGATCAGATATAAAACCTGACCAACCATAAAACCTGAGCAGACATAAATCAACCGATATTACATTGCTTAATAAACCCGATAAAATCGCCAATTCAGTCTAACTGAAAACTAAGAATCCTAAAACTATTTTTTCTGTGTTTGAAGAATAGAGGAATCAGAGTGTCAAGGGCTTCGAATAATGCATTTGGAGAACCGACTGGAGGAAGTGATTCTTTTCGCAGAGGTGGAAGGATAATGGGGGGGGGGGGTTTCCAAAGATGTGTTGGTGTGGGACCTAAATTGTCGTTCTGGTGTCGAAATCATATTACAACCCTCAGGGTCGATACTTCCGTTGTGCTCAAGATGCATCAAAGATGATGAGTTCGCTATGAAATGCTTAAGTGATTTTGTTTATCAGGTATGTGTTGTGGTAGATGTTAATAAGCTAAGTGGTTGATGTTGTATGTTGGAACTCATAATGCAGCTTGTGAATGATAACCATGATTTCAAATGGATTGATGAGGCTCTGCTAAATAAGGTTTAAACACTGAAATTAAAATGGAGAGGCTTAAGAAAGAGTTGAGAAAGACGGGAAGAGCATAGATTTTTTTTGGGTGAGAGAGTGGAAGTTGAAAGTGGAAAATGAGCTACTTGATAGGGTGGAACAATTGTTGGCAGAAGCCAAGCTAGCATGAAGAAATGATGGTTCTGGTACTCCTTGGATGTATGGTAATGGCAGGATAATGGAATTATATATGTAAAAAATGGCTAATGTTGTATGAAGGAAATGGTTGAGATTGTAGTGTTTTAGTGGCGTGCTATGACTTTTGGTCATGTTTCCACTGTGCTCTTGTATTTTTTAGTAATGTAAGACAAATGAATTTTACTGTAACATGATTTGGTTTTAGAGCGGTCACATTCATTGCAAAGAAATAAAACTTTCATAACATAACCAAACATAAGTTACTACATAAAAAGATAAAAGAATTTAAAATAGCACTCTAAATAAGATAAATCCGCAAAAATCAAGACAAAGGTTCCTATACACCATAGATAAGATAGAACAAAGCACCATCAACACATATCTCCATATCCAAGAATGACATGAAAACTCGCTAGAGAAGCAACTTAATAAGAAGCTGGAGAAGCAACTTGATAAGCACCTTGAGAAGTATCTAGAGAAGAAACTTGAGAAACGCTTTGAGAATCAGATGGAGAAGCAACTTGATAAGAAGCACATTGAAAAACCTGCCAAAAAAACTAATTAATGAATTCTTGTTTGAGAAAGACATTAGTGAATGATAAACAAAACAAACCTGATTTTTTCGTAAGAAACAGTAAGTTGTAATTAAGTTAGCCACAAATTCCAAAATGTATAAACTATTTCCTATGTTTTGGTTGTTTCTTGATTGGAGACTTGCTAATCCCTCTTTTTTCTTTTGTTTGTCAGCCTTAATTATCTTTTCCTCTTCGATTAGTCTGGCTGAAGAAGAATATGAACATTGGAAACATCTGTTATAGGCTAAAAGAGAGCACCTCTCACCGGAACAAGTCTATTTTGATAGTTCTTTCTTCACATAGATGTCTGGAACCGAATTTTGTAAGTGCAAATGTCTTATGAACCATCACTCCATATGCATGGTTACACGGGACTTTTGCAAATCTCAAATTTCATACATTTGTAGGTCCTTCTATCAGGGTCGGAGCTGAGATTTTGGGGGTTTGAAACATTTCTTAAGAACTCTAAAAATTTTGGGGGCCAAAATCAATGTTTAGGGGCTTATACCTAGGTTAGTTTTTTCTAAAAATTTTGGGGGCCAAGGTGAATGTTTCGATCGGCTGTGTCCAAATCCGGCCCTGCCTTCTATCTAAGCTCACACAGTATGTATATCCAATCAATAAAAAACATTTTTAAGGGATAAAATCGAACTGAACAGAAATATTTAATATATTAACTTAAACAATTAAATATAATTTTATAAATTTTACTTCTAAATGAATAGAATAAACAAAACTTAAATAGAAGAATCTGAATCTCATAACATCAAAATCGAAAATTACATATGATATTTATATTTGATTTGAAGATAATACTATAGGATTATTAGATTATATATTCTATTTTTTGTATTTGTATGTTTGGTTTTACGTTTAAATATGAAAACAATGATTTAGTTTTTTATAAAATATATTTTTGTAACTGAACTATGATAAAATTAAAAATCAACTTGGTTGAACTCACTTATACTGACAAAACTAAATTAAACTAAATCAAGCACAAATTAAGTTGACTACAATCAAACTAAACCGAAAATAAAACAAACTAAACTAATATAGATTGAATTTATCATTTTTATTATCAAATCAGCCTTCGCAATTTGGACATCTATGTTTGTAATTTGTAAAGAATGAAATTGATGTGGAGCGTGAATTATACTCCCACTCTTTTGGAGACAAAACGAGTACTTACGCATGATCCAAGAACATGCAGCCAGCCACGTGGAATGGTGTTCACTAGTTAACAAACGGTGAATGAGATTCTTGACTTCAAGGAGACGCGACGGCTCGCCTCTTCCAAGGCGTTAGCACCTCACACCGTCCACGTGTCTGGCTGCGATTTAGTATTAATATAGGTATGATTTCTTCTTCCTTTACATATAAAATCCCGTCTATAGACATTGGTACTAAAAGCACACCGCCATTGTTATCCATTAGCTTCAACTTGAAAGATACTTCTAAAAAGGATAAACGGTATATTAATAAAATAAGGGAAATAAAATCATTTTTAAATTTGTTATGGTGTTTTGTGACGAATTAAAGTTGTATTGAATGAGAAAAATAAAATATATCATTTAATCGGTTCCTATCATTATAAAACTCACACGAAGAGACATGACCATGCACATATGGATAAAGGTTTTTAAATGATTCGTACATAAATTATTAAAATATACTATCCTTTTTATTGAGTTCCTATCATTATTAAATTCACACGATGAGACATGACCATGCACTTATTGATAAAGGTTTTTAAAAGACTTGTATATACAGTATTCAATGGATTGGGTTGTCTGAAGAAAGTGGTAAAGATTTCCATAATCGGTCATCCAACAAACAATAACAACCCATGCTCGAAACTTCCAGTAAAACCCAGTCGATTTCGTCTTGTATTACACGCATGTATAGGCACACACACTTGCACACCTTTGTCTCCATCGTATCTACTTGTTAGATCAGTTATCTGCACCCCAATAATAATACACAAACTCTCTCTCTCTCTCCCTTTACCATTCCGTTATTGGTTTTGACGTCATGATTTGAATTCTTATCCAATTCACAGAAATGTTCTTTTTCTTCTTTCTTTTTCTCATTCTTCAGAGAATCTTGATTTCCCCCAACCCAATTACTTCCTTTATACTCCTCTGTTTTAAAAAAGATAGTTTCGCTTTCACTGATTTTCAGTGAAAATGAGAGAGAAAGGGTGTTATAACTTATAAGCTCTCGACAGCAAACAAAAGGGTGTCTCAAGATTTAGTGTCTCAACCCCAGTTTCAAAAAAAAAAGAAAAAAAAAGATTTAGTGTGTCTCAATTACTTTGATTCTGTACTAGTTATATGGATTTAACGTTGGGCAAAAGAGGTTTTAAGTTTGCTCTGAAGAACAAGAAGTGGATTCTGCTTGCAGCGACTGCTTATGGTGCCTTTAGGGTTTATCACTCTCCTTCGATTTCCCAGAAACGGAAGCGAATCTCTAAGCTCTTCTCTCTCCTCTTCAACCTCATCGAAGCAGCCTCTCATTCCGCCGAAGCGGTTAGCGTCATCACCAAGGATCTCGCGGAGTTTCTCAGATCCGATTCCGATCAAATCCCAAACAGCTTCAAGCAGATCTCCAAACTCGCCAAATCCGATGAGCTCAATTCGTCTCTGATCACCTTCACACAAGCAATAACCGCCGGATTGCTCAGAGGATCCGGTAACGATGAATCCGGGTCGGGTTTTACGGATCGGGTTATGGATAAGCTTTTCACGAAACGCGGTACGGGTTTCGCTTCCGCGATCGCCGGTAGCTTCGCGAGAAACTTAGTCGTCGCGCTCTACTCTTCTTCCTCCTTCTCCGGTGAAGCTTCCGTCTTCTCTGATTCGAAATTGCGCGACGCCGTTTTCTCCGACGACGGTAGAAAGCTGATCGGCGATTGCGTTCAGCGTTTCGTTAGCACGGCGGTTTCGGTGTATCTCGACAAGACGAGCGACGTCAACGTCTTCGACGATTTATTCGCCGGTTTAACCAATCCGAAACACGGAGACAAGGTTAAGCAAACGCTAGTAACGGTCTGTAACGGCGCGGTTGAAACGTTAGTGAGGGCATCAAGAAGACAAACAAAGGACCCGGGATTATCTAAAACGCTGACCGTTGGATCTAAACCGATGCCAACGTGGATGGATCGGGTTTCTTCTTCGTTGTCTGTACCGAGTAACCGGAAATACGTGGTGGATTTAACCGGGAGGGTGACGTTTGAGACGGTTAGATCGTTATTAGAAGTGTTGGTCGAGAGAGCGAATGGTAAAGTTGAGAGTTACGTGGAGAAAGTCAGAGAGAGAGGGAATGAGACGAGGAGATACGTGAGAGTTAAATCATCTCTTCTTCATAGTTTATGTTTGTCTATGTGTTTACAGATTGTTGAAGCTCCATGGTTACTGACTCCAAGAAACTGATCAGGCTAAAAGACAAAGACTCGGTTTTTTAATTTCTTGTTCTGTAATTCTTGGATTCAATCAAATTTGATGTACAATTGCTCCTACTTTTTTACTTTAATTGGAGAAGAAAATGATTGTTTGTTTCGTTCTGGATTTGGATATTTGGATAATGATAGGCTTGGGATATTATTTGTTACACGTCTGTGTTGGTTCTTGTGGATAAATATGGTATGGATATAGTTGCTGAGTGAGGTTGTTGACGTGGATAAGACAAGAACCATAGCCCCATGTATGTTCTTTTATGCGAAAAGGTCAAAAAAAAGTTTCTTGTTATCTAGAGAAAACGAAGTTGATCACTCTCTCGTCTTGATATGATCTGATCAATCTAATTTCTGTTTATACTTTTAGCTCGAACTACAACATCTAGTGTGTCATGCAAACATGGCATGTGTTCCAAGAATCCCAACGCCAGAAACAAGTATTGGCAATGTCATAGCATGCTATCTATTTATATAAAGTTAGTTTTCTCTCCAATGAAAGTGTCAACGAGCGATTAATACCTGAACTATGATCATATTGTCTGATCAATACCCACACTATTTCACTGTGCGAATTTGTACCTAATCTAATACAAATTTTGAATTTAGTACCTGAATTATGGTCATATTGTCTGATCAATACCAAAACTATTTTACTGTGCAAATTTGTACCTGATCAAATAAATTTTTTAAATGTACTACCTGAACTTATAAAAACCAACTTTTACATACTTGCATCTGATAACATATCAGCATAATGCTGATGTAGACCGGTTTCTTGATGAGTTGGTGTTTCTTCAAAAAATTTTTTTTTTAAAAACAAACAAAAGTGAGGCACCTTGGTTCGAACCCGTTTCCGATTATATTCATAATAATTTCACTAACCGCTTATGCTGGATAAGATCCAAATGACCTTTGAATGGTGTCTCTGTTTATCACCACAATGTCTCAAATTATTCATCGATTCTCATATAAATAATTGTTGTTTATCACCACTATGTCTCAAATGATTCATCAAATCTCATATAATTAATCGTTGTTTTAATGAAAAATTTTGATGAGATTTGATGAAATGAGATTCAAAAACGATTATATGAGTTTTGATGAATGAGATTCAAAACAAAAAGAGATTTAATGAATCATTTGGGACATGGTTGTGGGGATCAGAGACACCACTCAAAGGTTATATATATAGTTGTTTCAGTACAACAAAACGAAGAATCTTTTCTAGCATAAATGATTATTGTCATTATTATGTTTATGTTTGGGATCCGGGTTCGAATCAAGTTGTCTCTTTTTTTTTTATTTTTATTTTTTAAAAATGGCCATCTCATCAAGAAACTGGTCTACCTTTGCAGAATACGGACATGTTGTCAGTCGCAGGTATGTAAAAATCAGTTTTTATAAGTTCAGGTACCAAATTTAATTTTTTTATTAGATCAGGTACAAATTCGCACAGTGAAATAGTTTGAGTATTGATCAGACAATATAACCATAGTTCAGGTACTAAATTCAAAATTTGTATTAGATCAGATACAAATTTGCACAATAAAATAGTTTGGGTATTAATCAGACAATATGACCATAGTTCAGGTACTGATCGACCATTTTCCCCAAAAACTTGTGTCCTGAGATCGTGATACGTGTCCAAGACATCTAAAGCACACCGTTTCATTTAATCCCCAAATTGATGATCTTTAACGAGCTTATTTTCTTGCGTTAATCTGTGGACAAAGCCTAATCACAGTCCACACAACATGTAGGGATCTACTAACAACTTCTTCCTCTTCTAGTGCCGTCTTCTTATCTCCATCTACAACGATTGATTGTAGAACCTATGTGTAAAGCCTTTATTTCTCACTGAATCCACTTCATAACGTCTCCCCACCTCCATTAAAGTCTACCACTAAGTCGATATTAATGACAATTTTCTCAATTTTTTTTTTGAATTGAATGTTAAATTTGATTCAAAAGAAAAAGACCTTGTTACAATCATGTGTGTCCTTTCCTAAATTTTTATACAAGAAAGAGTAAAACATGGAAATATCTTTCTTCATCTCCTCAGCTCAACCTTCACGACATAACTTGTTCAAAACATAGCACTCACTCCTATTGGTCATCCAGCTCTCACTCCTACTGGACTCAATTTCTCCTCAAATCTACTTAGCCCTCACTCCTACTAAGTAGCCAGCACTCACTCCTACTGGAACACTATCTAGTCTCAAACCAATATCTCATCCCTTCGCTATAATCTCCATCCCCTCTCCTTTTGATCAGTGTAAATTGATTTCTCATATTCTTGTCAATTCTTCTTGTCAAAACCTCCATCGGATTTTCAGTTTCTCCGTGTCTCCTCCTATTACGTTCCATCCAAAAGGAATGAACCGTTGAAAGAGATATCTCATAGTAAACAACTTAACTCTGCTCCAACTCATCCTCCCCACTAGCATTCGAATGATCTCATCCCATTTGACAGTATATCTGTTACCAAGAATGCCTCTTGTTAGACCCTTCCAAATATACATTGAATAGTTGCATTCAAAGAAGAGGTGATGTAAGGTTTCCAGTGGCTCTTGGCATAACACACATGAACGGAAATAGCAGTATTCCCCTTCCAGTGTTGCATATGATCACCCGTTGCTAGTCTTTCTTTCATCGCAATCCAAGTGACCACAGAGTACTTAGGAGTTGCATGTTTAAACCAGACTGCTTGGTGCCAGTAACAAGGCTGATATTTCTCTCTTATGCTCTGCCATTTACTCTTCGTATTGAAGCTTTCCTTATGCATATCCTATCACTCTTCCAAAATGAAATGTCTTCTTTTGCAACCCAATTCTCTTTACACTTCTCTACCTCAAGCTCAATATTATTGAGATTTGAACATGGTGTCCCCTATTACGGTAGCATTCATTGGTATACCCAAATCGATATTACTTCCTTCTCTTGTCACTTCTATCAACCTACCCATAGGACTCCACATTTCATACCAAAAGGAGGTTCTACAACCATCTCTTACCTCAACCCTGTAGAATTTCTTCGCTAACTCCCTTCCCTTCAAAATTTTCTTCCACATCCAAGAACCGCTTTGAGTATTCTCATTTACCGTCCACAGAGATCCTTTTCTAATCAAATAAATTTTCACCAAGTTAACCCAAAGGGAATGAGCAGAAAGAATCCTCCATATAAGTTTAAGACAGCTAACATGGTTTACCTCTCTCAGCAGTCTTAAACCCAAACCTCCCTCCTATTTTGGTTTACAAACATCAAGCCATGAAACCTTAGCTCTTCTTCCCTTTAAATCAAGACCTGACCACAAAAAAGAAAACAAATTCTTTCAATCTCTTTAATGAAGCTACTAGGGAGACAATAAACTGCCATCCAAAAGTTTGTAAGGCTCCTAATAATCGAGTTAATCTAGTGTAATCTCCCCACGTATGAAAGAAATCTCTCGTCCATGAACTGATCCTTTTCCTAATCTTTTCAACTAATGGAAGAAAATCAGTGATGGACATACTCTTAGTGAGGAGGGATAAACCAAGATAGCGAACATGTAGCTTCCCAATAGCGAACTGAAACCGTCTGAGATTCTCTCCTCCAATCTGATCAACACCAGCCATAAACAACACTGATTTTTCCTTACTAATCTTTAAACCACTCATCTTATCAAAGTCTTTGAAGACTTTGAGTATCCCTTCAATGGAGCTATCAGTTCCATCCGCAAATATCACGAGATCATCCGCAAAGCACAAATGTGTAAGGTCAAGCTTCTTGCATTTTGGATGGAAACCGATTCTCCCTTTCTTAGCAGCATCATCCAACATTCTTGATAATACATTCATGCAGATCACAAATAAGTAAGGGATAGTGAACAACCTTGTCTAAGCCCTCTCTTGCTTTGAAAGTACCCCGCAAGTTCCATGTTAACTTGCACTGAGAAGGAAGCAGATGTCACACAGATTGAAACCCATTTGATAAATTTGCTCGGTAACCCTAAAGCCTCAAGCGTGTTGATCAAGAAAGGCCACTGGACCATATCTAAGGCCTTTGAAATGTCAATTTGCATGGCACACCGCGGAGATATCTCATCCTTATGGTAATCTTTTACCAGTTCCATTGCTAGCAGAACATTCTCCATCAACAAATGCTCCTTAATGAAAGCATATTGGTTCCAAGAAATAAATTTAGGAATCACACTCTTCAACCTATTCGCAACAATCTTCGAGATTATCTTATAAAGAACATTACAGCAGGAGATTGGCCGGTAGTCCTTCATCATTTTAACCTCATCTTTCTTTGGGACTAGGGTCAGAATCATAGAGTTTAAGCCCTTTGGTAAGAAGCCTTTTATAAAGAAGGATTGAATTGCTTTAGTGACATCTTTCCCAATAAACTCCCAAACTCCTTTACAGAATTCTGTTGTAAAACCATCAGGCCCTGGAGATTTATTTCCAGCCATATGGGATAACACCTCTTTGATTTCTTCTTCAGTGACCTCTCTCTTCAAATTTATAGAATCAGCTTCACTGTATTGGAATCCCAGCAACTCTTTCAGATTCTCAACCGAAATCCCCTCAAAATCCACTGGCTGCAATGTCATGAACTCAGCAAAAAAGTTCTTTGCTTCACTTTTAATCTCCTCCTCTGTTCTAGTAGTAGATCCATCAGTACGAACAATCTCATGGATAACATTTCTGACTTCTCGAACCTTTGCTGAGTTATGGAAATATTTGTTGCTGCAATCACCAACATCAAGCCAATGAACCTTCGACCTTTGCTTCAAGAATTCTTCTTCTAACTCAGCTAAGTGTTGCCATTTATTCATTGCTTCATTCTCAGCATTTATCCTCTCTGAAGTAGGATATTCCATCGTTGCATTTTGCTTTTCACAGAGATCAATATAAGCTTCCCTTGTTCTTTTGGGTAACTCTCCCAGCTTCAGTTTACTCAATTCTCGGATGGGTTTCTTGAGAGATTTCAAACGCTTAGTAAGAATGTACATTGCAGAAGTAGAATGATATAAACCTTCATAATTTCTCCAGAACACCTCAATTAAAGGACCAAACTCCGGCATCTTCACTATGGCATTAGTGAATTTAAATGGTTTACACTTCCTACCTTCCCTATGATTAAAATGTATACAACATCTCAGGTGATCAGACCACCCTCCTGATTCGAAAACAAAATAAGCATCTACCTTATTAATCCATTCCTCATTCACCAG